GGTTTACCAGGCCAATGTTCAACCCACTGAGCTATCCCTCCTCCTGGTATTCCAGGCAGGACTGAATCTCCATTAAACTTTTCAAGGTGCCCCTGACAGACCTCACTGAAACGATTGTCGGTCGTTGATTTCACAGAGGGAGGAAAGGAGGGAGGGAGTGGGGAGCAAATGAATACAAACAAACCTGGTCTATTTCTTGTTTTGATCCACTCCATCTGTCTTTTACAGCTTAGGCTGGCAGCAGACGGTGCAGTAGGACTGCTAGCCATCCTCATCTCCTGGCTGCTCACCAGAAAACGGTGCAATACAACTGCCGGCAGGACTAAAGAGAATGACCTGGTTGAGTCACTCCTACTTATGTCCCTGCGCCCATGTCTGCCCAGGCGCTCCTGACCGACCTCACCAACGCACCCAAGAGCACCTAGGACATGATGACAATGGTTATCAGGCCTATTGCACCGTCTGCTGCACAAGGCAATGAGCTGCTGCTGTGTAGCAATGCAGTATCCCATCTGCCAGCACCCAGGAGACGTACGGTGACAGTGAGCTGAGCGGGCTCCATGCTTGCCGTGGTATGGCGTTGCACAGGTAACCCAGGAAAAAAGGCACAAAACGATTGTCTGCCATTGCTTTCATGGAGGGAGGGAGTGCCTGACGACATGTACCCAGAACCACCAGTGACAGTGGTTTTGCCCCATTAGGCATTGGGATCTCAACCCAGAATTCCAATGGGCAGCGGAGACTGCGGGAACTGTGGGATAGCTACCCACAGTCCAACGCTCTGGAAGTCGACGCTTGCCTCGGTACTGTGGAAGCACTCCGCCGAGTTAATGCACTTAGTGCACTTGGAGCATTTTGTGTGGGGGGACACACACAATCGACTATATAAAAACGATTTCTAAAAAATCAACTTCTATAAATTCGACCTAATTTCATAGTGTAGACATACCCTAAAAGCTAGTTACACCTTTATGATGAGAGTTCTGGAAGCAAATTATATATAAAACAAGCACATTAAAATTTGGGACAAACTGCAGGTGGCAAGGGAAGGCTCAGATACTGGGTTTCACCACAAGCCTTTCATCTCTGAGAGCCAAATTCTACTCTCACTCATGTGAGCGCACTCCAATTTGCATCAATTGGGTTTAAACCCATCCATGTTAGTGAGAGCAGAATTTGCCCTGAATTTGGGAACCACAAATCCAGCCCAGGCCACTAGTGGGTGGTTTAAGGTGGAAGTGGGTCCAGTCCAGTTTTAAATGAACTGGCATAACTACCACCACCTTTATCATTAAGTGGCTAACAGGCCCAGAATTGAATGGTTCTAGATGTAATATTTTCAGGTCCAGTGTGAGATTCACTGATGGGCTAGTGTTGGTATAAGTTAAGATGCTTCTCTATCTGTTCTGAAGACAGAAGACTTCATTCCCCCGGGGTTTCTAGACAGAACTTTCCACCAGCACTGAACTGGCCTGAGAGAAATACTAAGTGATTTTAATTTAAGAAGGATGCTGATTGTTTCAGAAAACGGATTGATATTTTATCTTTAACTAACTGAATGTATAATTTTTTTTTTAAAATAGTAGGCCGAAGCCACATGAGGAACAACACCGAGCAGTCCAAAGGTTGAAGTACAAATTCTTCCTTTCTATTTCCTTTGACATACTCTGCCTTCTCTCAGTTCGCATTGGTGAAGTTTCCACTGAAAGGCATCTCTTAAGCCAGATATCTGCTGATTCCTATTCCATTGTTCACCAAAGTGAAAATTCTATGGTGATAACCACAGCATCTGATTAATAATTTAATTCCCTTCAATGGTCATGACATTAGGGGAGATATAAGGAATTTGCTGATTCTGTAGAGCTCAGCCTTTTACTACATGGCCATAACATCTGTAGTGGAGAAGCGAGGAATCCAGGAGCAGACAGTTTACCTTATGGCAAATTCCAAGGCACTATTTAAAGTTCAAATGAAATTCCAGCACTCAAAGTGGGAGGTTTTCCAAAAAAAAAGTCCCAGATCTGTGAGTGAAAAGTTTAATTATGGATGAGATGACACACATAGTAAAGCCCACAAAGGCAGCAACACCGCTGTGGAAGCACATTCCAATAAAATCTTAAAAGATTACTTTTATAATAAACTATGCATTCTTGAGCAAGCCATTGCGGGATTAGCTACCACTTTGCCTCGCTGCAAGCAGATTTTTTGCAAACTGTTACTGACACTATGTTCAAGGCATTCATGTGTCCAAAGCTAACATTGGTGTCTTGCAAAGGAATCTACTTTTCAATGTTTTTATTTAATCTTGTTTCCCTCTCTCCCATCTAAATTGAAATCCCAACAAGAAGAGCAGGCGGTGGCTTAGACAGAGTTAACATCCAGAAAAGCAATGGAAAAACTAGCAGTGGTGAGGCTTTCCAGCTGTAACTGCAAGATAATTTTAGACCTGCTGAAAAATGACTTGCATCTGTGAGGCACCTAGACTGATGTTGTTCTGCACAACAAAGGGTTAACTTAAAAACCCAGCATCTTGGGTAGGGCACTGAACCTATGCCAACAGTGGTAATATCAGACACAACAAATATTTTAAAAATCACCATCCTGCAAAACCCAGCACTCGCTCACCTGTGAACACTTTAATAGGCAGGTTTAAAGCTGCAACGGGCTTTGTCTGATTCATATGTTTGTACAAATCCACCTTGAAATAAGACTGTTTCTTCTTTTTATAAAATATGAAGCCTGCTATCAAAATCCTAGATTGCATACAGATAAAATAACTGTATTCCAGTTGGGGTTGCTGCCCGAGTCCTCCTATACTTAAAAACAATCCCATTAGGTATGTTTAATGTACCATTTGTGAATTTTAGCTTTTAACTCAAAAGTATGAAACATTAAGGCTTTGATTTTGAGCTGAATGAAAAAAAATGATAGTACACTAGGTTAAGACTTTTAAAGACATTTTATTCTCTGAAGTCAGCTGCAGTTTTTTCCAGTTAGCCATAAAACATTTAGCTGCAGAGCAGTTTTACCATTAGATTATTAGTGACACTTTGAGTGCTGGTGTAAAACTAAATGCCTTGTGGCATTTCTACACTAAACCCTAGTGTGCAGTGCCTTTGGTAAAACATCATATATGTACTGGGGTCTCTTTCAGTACTACAATAAATAGTGCATATGAAATTTACAAATAAACTGTGTTGGAGAGAGGACTGTGTTGTGGGTGGGCAAGGGCATGAGTTGCTGGAGGCTGGGGCACATGACTTATGAGGAGAGGCTGAGGGAACTGGGGTTATTTAGTCTGCAGAAAAGAAGAGCGAGGGGGGATTTGATAGCAGACTTCAATTACCTGAAGGGGGGTTCCAAAGAGGATGTTCTCAGTGGTAGCAGATAACAGAACAAGGAGTAATGGTCTCAAGTTGCAGTGGGGGAGGTCTAGGTTGGCTATTAGGAAAAACTATTTCACTAGGAGGATGGTGAAGCACTGGAATGGGTTACCTAGGAAGGTGGCGGAATCTCCATCCTTAGAGGTTTTTAAGTCCTGGCTTGACAAAGTCCTGGCTGGGATGATTTAGTTGGGGACTGGTCCTGCTTTGAGCAGGGGGTTGGACTAGATGACCTCCTGAGGTCTCTTTCAACCCTGATATTCTATGATTCTAAGAGTTCTAATCCTGTGTGTGGTGGGTTATTTTATGCAAGTCACTTCTTAGCATCTCCCTATTTACTAGGGACAAAACCTACCTCACAAGTGCCTATATTAAGAGGACCAGTTACCTAAGTCTTCTAGAGTACTTTGAGACAGTTATTATTTAAAATACATATTGCAGTAGCACCCAGAAACCCTGATCCTGATTATGATTAGAGCCCCTTAGTGGCAGGTGCTGAACAAATAAAATATTATTAATCTCAGATGTAACAGTGTAAAACATAACCGAGGTCCCAATCCTGCAAACATTTATACAGACATGTGTAACAAGAATATTGTTATTTGTAGCAAGTAACTTTACACACATAAGTAGCATGCACTTCCTTAAGTGTCTGCAAGGCTGGGGTATAAAATGTTTTTTTCTCCCTTATGAGAGAATTTTCAGCTTCTGAAGTGAGGGACTGAGCGCACCACTGAGAATCAAGCATAGTCCAGGCACAGCTGTGTTAATGCACCTGTGTCATCACCAGATATCCAGCACCCTTGTTATTCCAGGCTTGGGCCTCTTCTCAGCAGTCTGGTGGTTTTGTATGCAGGGTTAGATGGAGACCATAAAATATACAGCACATGATATATTTAACCACCTCCCTCCCCAAGTGTCCAGTGATGAAATAAAGGGCATTGCATGACTTTCGCATAAAACACACCTTTCCCCACTCCACATTTCCTAATATATATTGTAACTGGGTGGGGGGAAGGGAGAGATGACAGGATCCAATACTGGGGAACAAAAACAATATAAGTGCTTTGAGTAAAGATTGGTGTAAGCTGCCAAAGTCAGATCTGGATACAACCTGCCTACGACCCAAAGTTTGAAGATGCCTTGATCCAGGATTTTGGTTCAGCCAGTTATAAAGTACTCAAATTCATATCTGCATCTGGGTATGGATTTTTAAACACCATCTCCACAAATAAATATAAACATATACACATTGAGACCAGGCTTTGGATCCCCTCTGCACAGAGGGAGTTTGGAGGTGCTTTCTAAAAATGCATTTCGGGTTTCTCTTTATGAATGATAATACCTGCAGAATTTGTGAGCTACAGACCTTCCACCCCTTACTTGTGAATTCCCTCTGAGCCTTAAAAACGCACACAACTAATTTAAAAACCTCCGAATTTCCTGCTGTGGGTTTAAATCAACCCCTTTAATGTCATTTTCTCCTCTCTGCTGTAGCACTCATTATTGCATAACAGCCTAACAGCCCTGGTTCCCTTCAGTCCTGGTTTGCAAAGGGTTAAGTTTGGAAGCACCGACACGTTGAGGGGGAGTAGCCAAGCCCAAGCAGCAAAATCATCACAGCACATTCCTGGGTAGTCCTCAGCTGCCAGCATCTGATTAAAACCATATCTCTGGCTGTGAGTGGCTAACTACACTAAAGGCTGGAATACAACTGAATATTTAACCGGGCCCACGGTGTCAGCTACTCTACCGGCTGTAGCCCGAGGAGTATGCACCGAATAGCACGGAGCTAGGCTGTAAGTAGCTCTTCAGGAGGGTGGTTCCTCCTCCTCCTCCTCCTCCTCCTACCTTTTTTTGTGGGGGGGGATCGATCGGGGGCTCCTTGTAAAGGTTCCTAGGGGCTCCAGGCCAGACTGCCCCTAGTACAGGGGTGGAGGGGGCGCTAAGAATCCGGTCTTAAGGCAGCAGCCCCCACCCTGTTCCCGAGTGTGACATTGACTCGCTCGCTGGGGTTGCTGCCCCCTGCTTCTGAGCCGGACGCCGCAGGCTTGGCTAGAGCGAACCGCCCTCGGCGTGCCCGGGGCGCCTGCTGCCCGGGGTCTGAGCCTCCCCCTGCTGGGCTCTGCCTGCCTGCCGGGGGACTCCGAGCCCAACCCGCAGCGTCCCTGGGGCGAGCCTGTAAAACGGGCTCCAGGCAGCCAAGAGAAGGCGACCCCTCGGAACGGGAGCCGACTAATCGCCTACCAGCTGGTCTTGGCTTCTCCCTCACGAAGTCTCTGATTTCTATCACTAGGAAAAACTCTTCCTGGGGGGCTGACTGATCGCGAACTTGGGCTTTATTGTGGCAACGCCCTTAAGTAAAGTCTCTGCCAAAGACCGAGACCCCACTGGGGCTACCTAACGCCTTTAAAGCGCTGAAACGTACAATAGTAACCGTGCTGGGGGAGGGGACGTGAGAGACTGGGTTAAATCTCTGGAGCCAGCTGTGACTGTGATGGCTTTCATAGCCTAGGACTAGTACGGTTTTTAAATCGATATGGGGGGGATATTAATGCTAGGCAGTAGCATAGCCTTACTCCCAAAATAAGGCTCCAGCTAAAATTGGGTGGAAATGTCTGCATCCTGCTTTCAGGAGTCTAAAAGGGCCCATCTCCTAAAGAAGCCCAAGAACACCAAGCAAAATAAACAAGCACTTTCTGCAGCTAGGAGGGGATTAAGACAAGCTTTATTTTTATATATGTAGTAATATAGCTAGTAAAAACCTGCTGTTCTAGAAATAGTGTGGATGAAAGAATCCAGTCACTCACTGCCAATGGGGGTGGGGGAGAGAAAAGGGTGAGAACATAACTAAGCATTTTGGCCTGAGCATCTTGTTTGTTTGGATTTCTAATGTCTGCACTTGGGGCAAGTAGGTGACATCTCAGTAGTGATGGGTGAACTCTTACAGGCGAATGTGACAAATCTTGTAGCCCAAAAAAAAAGCCCCTGTCTAGTGAAAGGGAGCTCCTCTTAAGGATGAAAAAAACAGAAATGGGTTACAGGACAAATGTATGCCCTCACTGCTCAGAAAATCATGATGACACTCATTGGGGGACCTATCAGACTGTTCAAGGCAATGTCCTTGTTCTGAGCAGTAGTTGGTTGGTGTCCTAAATCTATTGTTTGCCTACAGTAGAATTTATTTAGCAGCTTGGTGTAACCATTCTCTCCACTGCTTTAAAAACAAAGAGCAGCACATTTAATTAGCTAAACAAGCTAGGAAATGATGATAGTCTCCTCCAATGAGACAGGATGACTGTATACCTGGGTGGCCTAGCAAGAGCAAATCCTCATCTAACAGCAGCATGTCCCTTGCAGAGACCGGCCTCATCCCCTTTAAAAAGCCACAAATATTTCCCCTTCAGTGTTGCTGTGGCTTCCACAGTTAACTAGGTAAGGAAAAGTGGTTTTAATACAGGATAAAATACCTGAAATTGGGACACTGTAGAAGCCTGAGTAACTAGACCAAGAAAATGGTACAAATACCAAAAGTCTAAGCTGAATCTAGCAAGGTATCTTCATCTCGTCAGCAGAGAGATGCACGTGGCTGAAATCCCCCTTCGGGGGATGGGCAGGGACACCGTAGAAGGGAACATTTCCCTTCATTGGTTATGAAAACTCTTAGATTAGGCACTGGTGCCTTTAAATTATCCTTCTGATGGCAAGTGGCACTTGTGCTTTTACTACCACTAACAAATGCATGTTCTGAGACGTTCACCCCCCTTCAATACCTAACTCAAATGTAAGAATTAGTCATAGAAATTGGGATGGGGAAAATGGTTAATTCATTCACAGAAGCTAAAGATTTGATTCCAGACTCAGTTCTGGTGCAAATCCATAACCATCTGGAAAAGGAATATACTAGAAGATGCCTCAAAAATGGGCTTCAAAATAGGGTCCCTAGGGCAATAGAAGATCATTCTTCCCTATCCTTCCCATGTGCAAAATCCGTTCCAAGAGTACTCTATCTTGGGAATCATGGTGTATATAGGCCCTTCCTGCTCTACCAAACCAAAATGGATCTTGTCCTTTGGGAAAACTTCTGAAATTGCCAAATGTCTTGGGCTTGGGTTTAAAGCATGAATTCCATTCCTAACTTTGAAATGGAACCAACCTTTGCCGTGAACAGAGAACCCCAAAAGGTATAAAAGATGCAAATTAAGATAGGTGAGCCACAGGAATAAAGCATTAATTGGCAAAAGATGAGTAAGACTGAGGAAAAGATTGGTGTAAATAGGAGAGCATTCCCAAGTCACTAGGACCTTTACTCTAGGCCCCATTTACTCCTTGACCCTTACTCCTGAAGAATAGACCAAACTTAAGACTTCTTGGCATTTAGATCCACTCAACTCCAACATTTCAGGTGACTCTTAATACCTTTTACCATCTTCACTCATCCTTTCTGGTAACTGGTATTAGACTTTGCTACAGCATGACTTACTATCAGTCTCTTCATTGTGTTTTGTTTTTTTTCCCCAATGTCAATTGAAACAAACTAAGCACCAGTTGTCTGTTTGGCATGCTATGAACCGGAAGATGTGGTCCTAACCCCAGAGAACTTAATCAGTTGTGACTGCTATAAAATCCTCACTTTTACAGTGGTAATGTCTCCCTAACGCTTCATAGGAAGTTTCCTTGAGGGGGGGGGAAAGGCAGGTCCAATATCCATTGGATGGCCTGGAGACGCAGCAGGAACATGGCAAGTATTTCTTATCTATGTCCTTGCAGCTGTCTTCAGTGTTTAGAACTCTAAGGTGGGGGGAGGGAGGAGCCAGAGCTTTGTCAGTCAAGATCTGCTTCGAGGAGAGAGCTGTCCATATGCCTGTAGTTGATGGTTGCTGAGCACCGTCTTATGAATGCTTACCTCTGTGAAGGAAGAGTACTAATCCATTTTACAGATGGAAATATTCTGAATACAGGAATAAGACAACTGGATGTGGGACACATTAAATGAAGCGGGCAGAAAAGACATCTGTCCCTGGGCTCTGTGGGAACCTAAGTCAATAATACTTGGTTTCAAGGAGGGGGATTGTGGTCTCCCAGCTGGGCAGGCTGCTGAGAGATGGAATGAGAAGATGTGGATGTCCAGAGATGAAATGGGGTAGCCTGAAACCATGCTGTAATCTTCAAGTACTGTTGCCAGGCCCACAGGCTTCCTATCCTTTTTTGATGAGCTACGTGCTTCTATGACACTTGGGTGGTCTTTTGCGCTGACCCAGCACTCTGAGATGCATGTGGACTGCATTCAGCAGGGCCAGCAGTTTGGATGACATTACTGTCCTTTGAGAGCACTCAAAGCAACAGACTCACTTATTGGCCACCAGAATACTTTAGGGATCTGTTCTCAGTCAGTGGAAGTAAGCTCCCTCAGGCTAGGGGAGGGATAAGGGCAATATTTTGTCCTTACTAGTGCCTATCAGTAAGATTCAGATCTTCTGCCCAATTTAATTAACCACAGCCTTCAGTGCATAGTTAGATTAATGTCCTAAGTATCCTTCAGATAAGGGATCCTGAAAACTTCAATGGAAGAAACTGTGGCTTTCTAGTAAGAAGAATTTTAAGATCAGAGGTTGGACATTGTTTAGCTTACTCCCACTGGGAATAACACATGAACAGAGCTAGCAATCCTAGACTCTTTTTGGAACAGGTGTAATAGAAAGGAATCATGGCTAACTGACATACCAATCAACTTGACATCCTTGAACTAAAGTCTCTTGCAGGAGTGAATGCTGAGGCTAGCCAGGTTACTGCAGAAGCCATCTTGTCACACCTCTGCTTTTTGAGTACAAATGCTGATGTAAACCACTAAAATGCCCTTAGCGGACTTAGGGGGAGGAAGGTGCCTCTACAGAGAAGAGGGAACGCTAGCTGGAGGTGAAGTGGGAGGGTGGTGGCTAGGGAATGCCTGGTAATAAATGAGTTGACTGCCAGAACATCATGGTCTTGGGACTCAAAACAAACTGAATGCAGACATCTTGAAATGTAGATGTCTACTATTGCTAATACTGCTTGTGTATAGGCAAGGTCTATTATACTGCATTGGTGTAACTAAACTGGCTCTACTTTCTTGTGTAGGCAAGTCCTTAGCTTTGTTCAACACTTAACTTAGCCTCTTCCTTCCAATACTTAACTTTCTACACACTAATCCCACTGACCCAGGTTTGCCCCTGGGTGTAGAGAACCCCTCAGAATGACACATTGCTGACACTATGTGTGTGACCCAATATAAGTGAAGAACCACCAGCGTCCCTGAACACTGCAAAATGCTCTTGGGTTAAAGACTTGATAAAACTCCCGACAACAGGCCTTCACTCCCTCTAACTGTCTCCAAAGTAACAAACACTGATAATACACATCCTCTTAATCATAACACTTTCAGGTCAACGGGACCAGTTAAGGACAGCACATTAGCCTTGACTGAATTTCCTCCCTCTCTACTAGTTCCTATTAGATCCTTATAGGATCATCCAGTGATTCATAGGATGGGGATTCTCTTATTAAAATAACAAGGTTCAGTGACTGTACACAATTCAGGAGGCTTTAAAAAGACACTGACTGGACACTTGTTCCCTGTCCTGCAAGAGACCTGTACAAGATACTAGCTGGCAATTTTTACCTTGATACATGAGGACTAAAGTGCCATGTAACTGCAAACATTCTGCTTCATAGAATCCTAACATCTGAAATTACTGTGGAATTTGATCACATGATATCAAGAATAAGACTTGTCTACCTATATAGGACAAGATAAATAAGA